AATCAGTGTGTTCATCCCAAATGAGAACTGCCCTTGCTACTTCCTTTATCTCTGAACTGCAACTGTCTGACATCATGTGACGTCACAGTTTGACTCCCTGTCTAATCCCGGTCCACAAGCAGAAAAGCGTGGATCCATAAGCAATGAGATATAGTGCTGGATTACTCTCAAGTTTCCTAAGTGACCACACTCAGAACACTGTTTTCTTCAACTGCAAAAGAGACCCCTTGCATTCTAAATGGAAATGTATAATGCATATCTGATATTGAGTTCTGCTGAAAGACAACAAGAAGATTAAAAACACCCCCCTTCAAGTGATGCCTTTAAAAAAAAGGACTACTTTAGCAAAATACATGTTCCTCTTCACATGTCTTAAGATGTCATCTTCTGACGATATCATCTGTTAGCTCCACAGGGCCTTTATTCAAACGTAGGAAGTAGTGAAGCATTCAGTGTATACAGCCCACTACTGAGTCATGCAAAATTAACTTGGATAGCAGGCGGTATCTAACTGCAGAACTGCAAGAATCTGGACATTGAAAATTTCCAAGAAAGGCAGGGACTACTGCAAGACCATGAAAAGGAACCTGAGGCCATGTAACAGATTAGTACCAGTGGACAGATATAAGATCGTTTTAGATAAACTTCACAGACTAAAAATTAGAACTGCACATACATGAAATGTTCCCACTGAAAACTTAAGCTCATTTCTACTTATCACTGCTAGCTGGATTTCCACAATAGTGAAAAGGGAAAAAACTCATCTATTAACAAACTTTCCGGCTTCTGTTTGCCTTTGCTAACAAAAGACTGAAGCTCTAGGGGCTACCTGCTTATTCACAGATCTTTAATAATATCATTAAAAAATTTTAAAGTTCTCATGTGGATTGCAGAAAAAAATTAGTTTAGGTGTGTCTGCAAATTTCTTGGCAGAAAAAGATGCCTCTATAATCTAACTATTATCCCCATAGTATAGCATGGGAAAGTTTTGGGCAACTTCCCCAAAACCAGAAACAAATCTATTGCATTATAATAGTACAACAAAACCTCTGGAGCTGGAAAATATTATTCTGAAAGATGCATTCATAACTGCTACACAGACACAGTGAATAACTCCACTTAACTGCAAGCCTTGAGCATGCTTTCACAGTTCACTTGGCATTAGAATTTCACATTTTTTAAAACTGGCAATTTAGCACAATGTCAGCACTAAGCTGCAGACATGGGATTTTCAGGTTAGTCACAATTCAAATCCTGAATAAATCCAGCTACAAAACCCAAACCAAAACTGCTGTAAATTATCCTGACAAATATCTGAGAAACTGTGTTTTTTTCTTCATAACATCTTATTAAAAAAACAGGACCTTAACTTAGCTAATAGATGCTCTTGTAAATGCTACTACCTTTTGAAGGTTGCTTTGAGTATTAAAGCTTTAATTTGCAGCTTTTTTTTTTTAAATAATAAGCATTATGAAGCTGGTCTCAGCATCACCAGATGGATACGGAGAACAGAGCTTTCAGTGAGATTTGCAAAACTAAACACCATTGGCCTGGTTTCTTTCCTCAAAACAAAATAAAAACCACAGGCCTTCGCAAAAGTTACACTGCACAGTACCAAATCAAAACCCAACAAAATAGCCCCCCCCCCATTAAGTACAGTTAGCTGTAATGCATTTAATATTCACTCCCTTTTTTCTGACTAAAACCAGAACTATTCTTCAACACATATGCACACACAGGCATTCCCCTTGTAAAAGGGAAAAAAAATCCCAACAAACAGTTGTATATTTGGAGCTGTTTACATCATTAATGCTGAAACATCAAAACTCTTCATATGTTACTACTGACTATGACAAGTAGTAACTCAGTAATTGTTTATCTGGAGTGTTCATATTAAAAGAAAAGTTATTTAAAAATTGAAAAAAAAATTTTCACTCTGATCCTCAAATTAGGCACGGCAGAAAAAATTAATAATTTAATCCAAAGAAAATTCACACAGGACTACAAAAATTTAACATAAAATGTAATTAAGGAGCAAGCTTTCAGGAACTGGTGTTTCCAATAAAGAACACAAACACAGAGATTTATACTGAGTACAATTGCTCCAGTAAGCAAAGCCTCTAGAAACAAAATGTGTTACTCTGAGTATAATTTTATATTTTTGGTCTAAATGATTCTCCCTCAATTGTTACAATCTAGTTTTATAACCTCTGAAAAATCATCATATTCCTTATTCTGTATTCTAAACTCAGAGGAAACATCACCTAGCAACAGAGAAATGAAGTTCTTTTCATTTGTTCCCAAGCGTAGCTAATGGAATTAATACTGAGTGGGAAAGCATAATTTTTATATAGTCCCAGTATCAAATAAAAGTTCTTTTATTCTGTATTCTCACATACACTCGGACACACAACGGATGTTGAGAAAATTATGCTTGCTCGTTTGGATGATTGGGGTCAAAGATAACTCCTATGGCTGGGAGACAGCCATATTTTCAGTATTCATGACGCATCTGTGTGCCTCTGCTGCCTTCAGGAATGACAGACCATGTATTTCAACCCAATTCTGTATCTATCAAATTTAAGCAGTCTATATCTCACATTTTTCTCATCTACAGGTCAGACAGATACATACTTATTCCACTAAACGTATAGCACTTTTTATCAATGTTTCTGAACAACTGAAGCTTAAGCATCTGTTCAGAAAGTCTGGACTGGTGGGATTTCCCAGTGTGTGTGCCTACCCATAAGAATGTGTCAATGTACCGAGAAGTAGGGAAAACAGATCTGCCCTATCCTCTCAGACAAAAGTTGGACTGAAAGCAAGGCATTATCTGCAAATACCAGGTGTATTAAGACATACTGAAAAAAGAGGCAAGACTTCTCAAAGAAAGTTATTTGTTTTTTTTAATCATGATCTGAAAAACCTCAGGCCCTTCCACATCTCTAAATAAGCATGTGAAATTGTGAAGTAAATGGAAACAGAACTGTTTCCCATAGTGGGGAGGGTGGAAAGGAGGGAGGGACAGAAGATCATTTGAAATTACTTCATTACAAACTCACCGAAATATGTCATTGGACAACAATAAACCCCTGTGTATATTTCTGTTAGAGTTGCAGGAGAGAGCTATCTGGATAAGGATCACAAACTGCTGAGAATAATTTCAATTCCTCTTATTTAAATTAATTCCTTCCATTTAAATGAGTTAAACTGTTTTTAACAGTTAAGTTGAAGGTACAGATGACCCTACTAACAAGAGCATGTTAATAATTTCAAAGTATGATAGAAGAGAAGTACATCTTCACTGATCACGAGATAGGAAAGCATATTCACCCTTCTCGGTGACAAAGGACTGTCATTTGGTTGACATTTCACTTGAAAATGTTTCACATAAAATGGTCATATCTGCATTTTTAATGTTACCACTTCTGAAGCAACTGCTCTGCTAGAGGATATGAGTAATTTATACTGTTACTATCTACATAATTTGAATTTTGAAGATTTTATTCTTTACTTTTGTAAACAAAACTGTTCTTAGAATAACTGTACTTTGAAATATAAACTTCTCAGTCTTCCGAATCTGATGGCTACTATCTCTGCTGAATACATAAAGGAGGTACACTTAAAATTCTTCCAAGTTGTTACATCTTATTAATCAAGCCAATAGTTTTAGGTAGTTTGCCTAAATGTAACTTGTGTAAAATTTTATTAAGCCAAACAATGGGGATACCATCACAACAAACATTTTTAATTCAGTCATCTAACAAATATTTTTAATTAAGTCATCTAACAAGACATCTAGCAAAATTCCTGGTAAAACAGATCTCATCTAGACTTTGTGAATATGAACATAAGCATAATTAAGTAAACATCTAATCTACAAATTGTAATCACATTGCAATCACTTGCAGTGCTATATTTTAAATTTAAGATAAAACAACAACAGTGATTAGCTTTCTTACATGTTCTTATCTTGTGATTGCTCTGGTGCCTAAGACAAAGTTCTAAATGAAATTTTCCTGCAGTTGGCATCCTTAGAAGATCTTTACCATGCAAAGCCTCTGGTTCACACTTGCAGCCTTTTGCTCATCTTTTGAGACCTCTCTACCCTCAGTTGTTTGAAATCAGTCAATGATCAAAATTTACCGGGTAAAATGAGCAGACAGACAGCATGACTGCTTAAACCCCATTTCTTTACCAAATGTAAAGAAAACAAATACAGTACTCTTACACTCAGATGTTGAGAAGAATAGGAAGAGACCACCAGTTCTGAAAGCCTAATTTTGCACAGCTCTTATACTCTATGGATTATAAACAGTCAAAGAACTTTGACTCTCAAGCTGCTGCAGTTATCTCCTCCAGAAATTATGTTCTTACTACTCCTTCTCTTACCCTCTGGGATACGATAAGGAACCACAAAACAAGTGGAATGACCCCTCAGCTATCTCAGTTCACATTCCCAAGAATGAATTTAAACAGCCATCATCTCTCAGTTATGTTAAGCATGTGCATAATTCCTTTCAGGACTGGAGGAAAATACTGCAGCTGGCCCGACAATTAGTAAGACATTACCAACATTTTTTGTTTAACACATTATTGCATTTTAGTTATTTCATTTTTGAGACAGCACAGCTTGAACAGTATGTCTTGCCTGTGTCTCAAAAATAATTTGAAAAATAAACACACAATTTATATTCTCAATAAAGGACTAGGAAACAGAGAGAAGGTGTTTCCATCTTCCATCCAATGATGTATATTAGATGGATTCACTGTGACATAAATCAAACCCTTGCTTGCTATTAAAAGATAATAAATCAGCCTTGTGCACACACTTCTGTCAATAGCTGTAGATGCAACTATAATCTTAGGAGATACGTAACTAGAGTAGATACAAAAAGTTACTATACATAGATTTTCATGACCGTATCTTCCCAAAACAAAACTTTCTTTCCTTCTTCTGTTTATTACAGATAATAATTTTAATCCAACTCGAGACTTACACGTATTGAAGAAACTGCTTTGTCTGCGTTGCTCAACTGTCACATTCCAGGGGGCAGAGATGGAACACCGTGTCTGGAAAGCCCATGCCAGGCTAGAATATGAAGAGCAACTCCCTTTCACTGGCACAGAAGCAAACCCTGAGAATGAAGACAAAAATGTGTTTATATACAGGACATTTTCTACTTTAAAACGGCATTTCCTGCAACTATACATACCAGAAGTATTTACTTATACAGTTTAGTTTCCAAAGGGAATCAGATTTGAACCTTCTGTCTTGAAGTGCAAAGCAAGTTGCAATAGGGAGGGGAAATACTGCAGTAGAAAATGGCATAAAGAGAAGAAGGCTAGAAGGCTTCTAACATATTGCTCATGGAGTGAGCATTCACTCTCAAAAAGTAGAAATATTGTCCTAGCAGCAAAATGTGCAATAAAGTTCCTGGACACATTCAAAAGGGATAAATAAATACATCATAAAATACTGTATGTGGTATGAAAACCAAATCTGAAATGAGCCAAATAATCCTGTTCAATATCTTCATTAGTGATCTGGATGGTGGTTCAGAGTGTACCCTCAGCAAGTTTGCTGATGATACAGAACTGGGAGGAGTGGCTGATACACCAGAGGGTTGTGCTGCCATCCAGAGGGACATTGACAGGCTGGAGAAATGTGCTGATGGGAACCTCATGATGTTCAATAAGGGCAAGTGCAAAGTCTTGCACCTGGGGAGGAACCGCATGCACCAATACATCCTGGGGGCTGAACAGCTCAAAAGCAGCTTGGCAGAAAAGGGCCTGGGGGATCCTGGTAGCCACCAAGCTGACCATGAGCCAGCAATGTGTCCTTGCAGCAAAAAAAGCCAACAGCATCCTGGGCTGCGTTAGGACTGTTGCGAGTGGGTTGTGGGAAGTGATCCTTCCCCACTACTCAGCACAAGTGAGACACACCTGGAGCACTGTGACCAGTTCTGGGCTCCCTAAGAGAGATGCGGACATACTGGAGAATTGGACATTAGGAAAAGGTTCTTCACTGAGAGGGTGGTTAGTCACTAGAACAGGTTCCCCACAGAAGCGGTCATGGCACCAAGCCTGTCAGAGTTCAAGGAGTGTCTGGATGACGCTCTTAGTCATATGATTTAGTTTTAGCTAGTCCTGCAAGGGGCAGGGAATTGGACTCGATGGTCCTTATGGGTCCCTTCCAACTTCAGACATTCTATGATTCGATGAGAAAGTCCAGCAAACGGTCACAAAGATGATTAAGGAACTGAAGCATTTCTCGTAAGAGGAGAGTCCGAAAGAGCTAGGACCATTTAGCCTGGAGAAAAGCAGGCTCAGGAGGGATCTTACCTATGTATATAAATATCTGAAGGGAGGGTATAAAGAAGACTGAGCCAGGCTCTTCTCATTGGTGCCCAGTGACAGGACAAGAGGCAATGTATGTAAATTCAAAACCACAAAATTCCATCTGAATATAAGAAAACATTTTTTTTAACTCCCAACTAAACATGGTCCTGGATAATGTACTCTAGCTGACCCTGTTCTGAGCAGGGAAGGTGAACTAGATGATCTCCAAGAGGCTTCCAACCTCAACTATTCTGTGATTCTGCAAATTTACAAAGCTGACTTACTCTGGCATCCTGAAAGGAGAATGTAACTCCAGAAGTACCTTCCCCATGGTCCTCTGGATTTGATTATTACAAAGCTAGCCAATTATACATGCTCTTACCATCTCCAGAACAGATCACTTCAATATAGCATATATGGTGGTGCATTTTCTGTCGGACGTCTCAGCTAATGCAGAAACGTTGCTATTCTATTAGCCAAAAGGAGCACGTTATAACATCTAAGGCTCACATGCTTACCTACAACAATGAAAGCAAGATACACTTTCATTATTGACCAGCACAGAGGGGTGTTTCTTCAGAAGTAAGGAATCCATATTTTTCCTATTTACATCAATAAATCCAAACAGCATGCATATTCAACAAACTGAAAAGGGCTATACTGTCTTGAAATCCATTACTCAACACGTTATTCAGAAAATGGTGAAATTAAATTAAAATCTACTTCTTCCTAAACTCCATTTAAATTCAATCTTTTCAGCTAGATTTTAAAAGCAGAAAATAAACATGACTCTTGTCATTTTTTGATAGCATCCAGTATCAATAAAACAACAATCCATTTTTTGAAGTCAGGACAATAGCCCCTTCTAGGCAAATAACCACCAGTTCAGTTAACTGGGTTAAGGCAGCACAAAGTTCTAAAAAATTCCTCTCAAAGTAGTCTTAAAATGTAAGTTTATCATCATTTATTCCTATGAAAAGTTAAAGTTGACAAACTCCATTATGAAAATTTTGTGAAAAACCATTAATTTTCACAAAATAAAAAGCAGCCTAGAAGGAAAAAAGCAAAAAATAAGAATAGAAGATTCTTATTATCTGGTTAAATTCACAGAGAATGCAGAACATTTCACTGAGTCATACTATGAGACACATGCCAAAAATATGCTAGTCACTACTCAAACACTTGCTTTTACTTCAAACTGCTCCTGAACTAGCACTCCTAATATGAACTACATAGACAACATTAATGATAACTCTACAAACACAATTTTTGAGCTGTTTTGTGTTTTTAATATGCATTTAATGACAAATTGTTAATCTACAAGATTAAATTAACAGTTCATTTGAGAATAATTTTCACAAAAATTTCATGAGGTATTGATCTAATTTTTGGAATGGCATGCATTTAAAGAAGTTATTTTTAAAAAAATAATGTATCTACAACTAATTTAAAATTGCACTGTGTGGCAGTATTTATAATTTCCCTTGCTGCACCCTTTAATCTGGAAATTGCTTCAAAATAACTCGCAAAATCTAATCCTGTCGTTGTCACACAGACAAATTTTGTTGTACCTCAAACATGACTTGAAGCGGCACACTTTTCTCCCCTTCACATACTTCCCATTGGCCTATAAATGATCTTTTCACATGCATTAGCACATCTACTGATAATTTCCTTGAACAGGCTTCTTTTAATACAAAGACTTAATAACTCCCTCTTAACATCTTTTTAAGAAAAATGAGGGGGGAAAAAATATCTGCACATTTATGAACAGATGCACTGGTTCAGGCTAGTGGCCTAAGTAGCTCAGTATTTTGTCTCCAGTAAGCACTATAAACAGCTGCCTGGGGAAGAGTAAAAAGTGAGCAAATAAGTATAATTCTGTCTCCTACCGAGTCCCTCAGAAAAACCAACAAACACACCCAAGCTCTAAAGGATTTTTAAGGTTGAATTTTCCATTACTAAAGGCATGCATAATCTTTTTATCGACACTTACTCTGCAAGCTGTTTTTAAAAGACTGGTGCCACATTTACCACCTTCTGCTCTTCAGGTACCAAAGCAATTTCAAAGGGGAGGTTACACACTCTTACTAGTAATTAATCTTTTTCATCCTGGAGTTCTCTTAGAATTCTTCTGTGAATAGTTTCTGATCCAGCTAATGATCATCCTGTAGATTTGTCCCATAACTTCTGCCACAGTTACTTTAATTTCAGAAATATCCATTCTCACCACCATCACCACCCAGGGGTACCATATGGAAATCTCGTGTTTCTTTTTCCAGTGAATAATGATGCAAAGAATTAATTTAGCTTCCCTGCCTTCCCGTCTTTGAGTGCTCCTCTTATATCCTGTTTGTTAAACTGTCTCTAGAGGCATTCACTTTGAGTTATCTATTGGAGCAACACTTTATTAGCTAAAATGAGATAAGTGGTCAACATCAGGAACAACACTAATTATCTGGGCCAGGCTCAAACGTACATTAAAACATTACAGTGAGAAAATCATTGCTTTGTTTGAATTGGTCACCTGCACTTCTAGCAGCAGAGATGATGGTTTCTTTCACAGTTCTGTAATACAAAAGCATATTCTAAATTTTATGCCTAAGAAACAATACATTAATTTGGAAAACAAAACAGAAGAGTATTAGACAGATTACTTCATTATTGAAAATATTTGCAATGCAATTTGCTTTTGGTTGTTCGTTTTACTCCTACTTTCATTAGTCAAAAAAAGTTCCACATTCTAAATACCATCTCCTTCTGAAATTATGATGGAAATTTGAAAAAATATAAAGAGGCAATGAAGTCAAGACAAAATGACAGCAGTAAGAAGAATCAAGAGACAGTGGAATCAGATTAATAACTGCTGCAGAAATAAAATTCTGACAGAATGGCAGGGGCACAGAAGAGGAAAAGAAGTCAAATGTCAGAAAAAGCAGCAGCCAAATAAACACTGATATGATAGAAAAAGGTCAGAAAACTTTCAACTGATCTCAAGAAGTCTGATGATCCAAAGTTATTTTAAAAAAGTACTACAAAATCCGACTATTACAATTCATAACAGAAGTTGTTAAAGCCCAGGGTGAGACCTTGGCTCCACTGACACCAGTGACAAATATCTTATTTTCTTTAAGGATTCAATCTTTTTTAAAGTGAGGGCAATTTATACTTTCAAGACTGGCAGTGAGAGAATGCCAGTTCTGAGCTGGCAATCAAAATGATATGTCTAGGAAAGCCCAGGGGCTGTGTTGACTGTATTTTGGACACAAGGAGATAAGACTGTTTTGGTCTCTGAATTGCAGCAGGACAAAAGAGGAAAGAGGAAGACATGGCAAAAACAACCCCAAACCCACATGATTCCCAGAGTCTGAAACACTCTGAAACACATTAAATGATAACATTTAATAAAGTATACCCACACACTGTTGTACATGCTGCTACCAAGGGAATACACATTTTGAAAGGAGAGCAAAGAATAAAAATATTTATGGAATATAAACAGTTTGAAATGTCACATCTCAATAAAACAGCATTTTGACAGTTAATGCATCATATCCTCCATTCCCTATACATCCTCCAAACATCTGTGATGGGACTTTTATTTAAAATCTAAAACGTCTCTTACAATAAGCTATTCAAAATTGAATTGTTTATAAAAGCAAGACAGGTCATGAATGTTTGACTGATGTCTTGCCACCAGAAAAAGACACACCAACAAAGAAGAAAAAAGAAAAGGAAGCTTACTATATTTAAGTCATGCTCTGCACTAACATAAAATTAACTCCTCAGTTACACTTACTTTCCTGCTATAAGCATTACAATTAACACCCTGCACTGATTTTTTTAGTGTTGCCTTTCGCTGGATAAATACAAAATTTTATGCAAGTATAAATATACATCTATTCAACACTAAAAATTAACTTACCAAACACACTATAGAACCATTTCATTCTTTTCATAAGATGCAACAGAAGAATGAATCTCGAGATAGGTGGAAAACTAAATCTAACAGATTAACAGTCTTATTTCTGCAAACTTAAAAAAAAAATCCCTAAGAGTTTTCTTTCTAACACTCACCCTAGTTCATACACAAATCTACTACTTCGCTGTACCCATTTCATTATAACTTTCCTAACCTTTATTTCAGTTACATACTGGTTTAACATGCCACTTTCAGGAAATTTATGCACAGGGTGCAGCATCTGTCACCACACACAATGCCCAAAATTGGCATGCATTGCCATTTGCTTGCTATATCACCTAACATTCTGAAAGACAGCAAGCATGCTGAACATCCACATATTTACTTTACTAGTGAATGCAGTGTTCAGCAAGCCTGAGCACTAATTTTTAGGGTTTTTTAAACAATTGGCAACAACTTAATAATCCCCTGTACTCCTGTGATTATTTTCCACAGGAATTAAATAGAGAAAACTGTTCTTACTCAGTTCCATACCTGAGAGAAAGAAACACTGCATGAAGCCGGTTTCAGCAGTGAGAACTGCATCGTAAAAAAACTTTAAAAAAGAGCCATCAAGTTGGTTATAATTAGAACTTTGGCAAAATTGCCCAAGTATAGTTCCAGATATGCACATGGGAGGCTGTAGGCCAAAATAATCACAAAATTCTCAAAAGGTTTATGTACAAGAAAACAGAGATGTTCTGATTAAATTCCAAATTGCAGTTCTGAAGATATCAAGCACTATTATCTTAGCCTCTAATGGGCAATGAAGTTTGGGGGTTATTTGTCTGTATTTTCTGTTTAACATTTTGCTTGCTGCTTTTTATTCAAATGAAACCGTTATGCACAGAAATAAGGCATTCATACAAACAATCGCAACAGCGAAAACACTTCAGAATTGTCACTATCTTTTCCATATCGTCTCATAAGCGCTCGAGAAAGGCCCATGTAGTAATGAAATCTTGGAACTGATACAAATTGCTTTTTAAAAAGCCCTCCAGCTACTCTGGAAGAAATTTGGATGTGAAGAACTTAATCTGACAAACTAAAACCCATGCATTTAAAAAAAATCACAGCACATGGAAAGGGTCACTATCTACCTGGGCTAATCATGGAACACAAAGGTAATCAAATCAGAAAGAGTTAAGTCACACCTGAAAATACATAGATTATTTTAATAAATTATTTAGGAGCAGTTGCAGCCTTTCACTTTTCCTAGTCTACTTGCAAGAAATATTTATTTTTTTATGATCTACTCTGTGCCTAGATTGTGAAAACGTTTCCATCCACCAAGGAAACAAACCTCCCTGAATGCTCAGGCTTTAACTGCAGTTTGGCTAGAGAATGGGCATCACTTCAATCTATAAGATTGCCCTAAGGAAGAAGAGAGACCAGAAATTCATTAACTGCTTAGATTTATTTTTTTAGGAGTGGAAGCAAGGAAGTTTTAGGAGAACTGTAGAAGATAAAAAAAGCTAGAGAACCTTATTTTGCATTTGAACATGGGGGAGAAAGAAGGCACACCATCTCCGGAAAGCAAAGAACGCGACCAGCTTCCAGGTGTTCTAATACCAAGCTTGAATACACTTTTACCAATGTAATCTGGCTTTTCTTCCCATGTCAGTCACCAGCTTTTCCTGGAGAACATAGAGGCATTAATGTATTTCATTATGACTTTTGCCTAGAACGTAAGTGCATACAAGCTACCTAGGCTGTATAAAGGATTCTGAGACAGATTCACCACGATTTATAAGCAGGGTGCATAGCTGGTGGCATACAGTGACTCTAACGATGGAAATCGCTTTGGATGAAAAGTGAAAATGGAGACAAAAAAAGATAACATGCGTCCCAAGGCAGTCTCCAGTGCTGCAGATGATTTCCCCCCATAAGAATTTCCCACAGTACATATATACTTTTCCTCAGGACCCTTGTAAGACTCCTCACTGGATACATGCAGACTGGTTGGTTGTTATAATCACTATGATGGCACGGCATGCTCTAATGAATCCAAAACCTACAGACGAAAGCAAAGGGAAGAAGAAAACTGGCTCCTGCTAGTTGCTACCCAGGAGAACCCATCAAACGCTATTGGGATTCACAGCCGCAATGTCATAAGGTCAACAGCAGGAGAACAAGGGGAACATACTGCCCCAAAGGCTCTGTAACAGTGCCAGGGCAGCTTGGGTGAAAAGGGACATAGCTGCTGAAAGACAGACAGCAAAGTTGCAAATGGAGGGCATTTAGCAATACAAAAGGCTAAGATACCCATGGCACCGCAATAACTACAGCTATACCACCTTCAGTTTGAGGCAAAACCTCAGTAGTATTCATTGCTTAAAAACACGGTATAATGAAAAGCTTTAATTTCCTCTTATGAGAAGCATGCAGGTTAAAAAATAGATCCATATTTTAATATTTAAATATATTCACATCAAAATTAACTACATAATTCAGAAAATGCCACCCAGCAGTTTACAGTTATACAGTATTATTTCTTATATATCAAAAGACGATTTTCCCCATTTTCTAACCACAATTTTTGAAGGAGAGATCCAAAGTCAACTACGATCCTTAGTGCGAAAAAATATATATATTCTCCTTTCTTCCCAAGTATACTTCAACCACTACTGGGAAAAATAATAATTTAAATTTTGGAAAGTAACTGCAGAGGACTAAAAACCAGAAAGAAATGGCTACTGAAGAATTAGAGAAGTCTAAGAAAACAAACTTAGATTCCTATCAATTCTTCCCAACATCCAGGAAGACATAAGAGGAGAAAGGTAGAAAGAACAGGAAGAAAACAATATTTGAATTAAAAAAGCAAACGACCTCACTCCATTATCTTAAGGCATATATTACTGCCCAAGTTACTCTGATGGGATAATAGGTTTCCAAAGGCACAGATGGCCTGCCGCAAACCCTGCAACAATGAGACTTGCATGCCTAAAGCCCATTTGTGATCTGAAGTACATGCTTACTGTGTGTGAAGAAAGAAATACGGAAACTGCTAAATAGTGATAACAACCACCTTGTCCACTGATGACAGTGCAAGTGTAAAGCTAGTTATTTCACAAGGCATCTATCACACTTCCTGTCCTGGAGAAGAATAGCACATGCAAGAGCAACTAGATTCACAATATCTCGCAAAATACAGGCTTTAAAAAAAATAACATTTGTTCAGAAAGTCCCATTAGCGTTGTTTAGATATAAAAGAGAATTCCTCTGTAGCTCTTGTAGGACCTGGAGTGATTGAACAGACAAGGGAATGTGTGCAGCTGTGGTGTGTTCTGATCCATGCACATACAGAGCAGCTCCCACTTCTCTCTGTGTTGTTTTTAAGTTAATCACTAGCCATTTAATATTGGGCCACATTAACCATTACTAAGTGTCACATATGGAGCTGAGTCCAACCAACACCAAAGCACTTTTTCCACACTGGAATCAATACAATGGGGGAAAAAGCAGTTCAAGGGCTTATAAAACACAAATACACCCACACGAGGCAATGACCAGACACCGCTGAAGGGCACACTCTTGATCTCCCTCTGACCCCCAGAAGCGCTGCCGGTGTAACCCCAGAGCAGGCAAGCACGCAGCAGGCCGCGAGGGGAACAGGTTGCTCTCACCACGGAGAGCTCTTGCCAGGTCATGCCCCAGACCTACGGGAACGCGGCAGGGACACAGCAAACCCACCTTCCGCGCTTACGTGCATACACGTGTGTGCATACACGTGTATGCACACACCTACACCCACACAGAGCTCCCCATCCCCCCACCCCGAACTGCGGGGAACCGCTCGGAGCTCCGCCTCCCGTGGCGACCGTCTCGACCGGGCCATTGCCACGTGATACGGGACCGCGAGCGATTACCACCTCCCCTCCCGGAGGAGGCGCCCCCGGTACCATGCGCTCCCCCATCACCTCGCCACGCCACTCGGAAGGCACCATAGGTGCACGCCCGACCGATCGCCGCCG